TAGGCTCCCCTGGCGGCCGCAGGTCCCCGGGCGCCGCTCGCCTCTCCTGATTGGCTGAGAGCCTGTCAGTAGTAAAGAGTATCAGATAGCAAACTTGGGACCTTCATAAAGGCGTGGTGGTGTTACACCGCAATCGCTGGCAGCCTATGACATCAGCCAGGAACGCCTGGGATGCCGCGGCTCCTGGCAGGCCTCAAGGGAGGAGGGTCTTGCCGGCTACGAGTTAATTAGCCCCGCGAAGCGAGGGGGGAGGCGCCAGTTTTCTGGGGACACTGGCTGCCACCGTCCGTTCTCCTACCCTGGGGAGCTCACAGAGAGTTGGATGAATTCTGGGTTGTTAACTGCGGTCAGCTGGGCTCCTGGGAGCCTGTTCCTGGTGGAAAACAGGGGGCGTCTGGCAAAGGGACCAGCGGCTTGCTGAGACTCACCATGACACTCCTGGGGTCTGAGCATTCTTTGCTGATTAGAAGCAAGTTCAGATCAGGTAGGGCTAAGGCATTTAGCGTTTCTTCTTAAACTTTCCTCTTCTGTGATTCTCAACTCTAGAACTACTTTCCCATAAATATCTCAAAGCCCGCTGTGGCTACCTCAACTCTGTTCCCCAGAAGCACATTTTGGAAGTGGAGGATTTTATCTGACTTTGGGAGCCTTTCATGTCTTCCTTTACAAATGCTTTCAGTTGCGGAGTGTGGGTTTTGTTTGTGAGTAGGCCAGTCCTTTTATCTTGTTATATTTCCCCCTGTATCTGTGAATAGAAATTTTGGAGGAGTATGTCCAATGAGAGCTTTAAAAATGAAAAAATAAGAGGTTTCAAGTTTGGAAACTGCGGAACATTCAGTTAAAATTTCTGAGAATATGAACCTGGTGTTGTGTATTAGGTACAGGGGTCACTGAAAATGTAGCTAATCAAAACAAATGTATTTCCCAAAAAAGTCACTTGGGGGAAGTAAAAATAGCAAATTTGGAGCACACCAAGAATTTAAAATGACATCATTGTAGGAAAGAAAAAAAGGCCACTGCCACGAATATTCTTTCCCAAACCATCTGATATTTATAAATGGAGAATTTTCCCCCAAATTTCTGTGTTAGTGGCACATAGAGAATCTTCCCAAAGGATGCTGAGTAGAGGTGAGTGGAAGGGAGAGATGGGAACTCTTGATTGCTCCTTCTCAAGGCGCTATGCACATGCATCTAAAGCAGCGGTACACGGGTGCCCACGATTAGACAGGGCGACACTTGACTGCTTGAGTTCCTCAGTAGCTCTGTGTATATTGTTGGTTTTATACCAGTGGTAACAATCCACTCAGTAGTGGCAGAACACCTGCTGAGAAGATGGATGGCTGTTTAAGAGCTCTGGTGTGAACCTTCTGTGTAACAGGTGTCAGCAAGATGTTGCTGTGATTCCTGAGCTGTGTCTCTCTTAGCCTTTGTAAGCAGGGCTGCTCAGTGGTTTCACTGAGAAAAGATGATTCAAAAATGAGAAAAATGGATGCTGGGAGGCAAGGATCATCCGTAACTTCCTTAGCTATTCCTGGGCTTTAGGTGTCTATGGGATTGGTTGAAGATGTGTTGTTCTTGTGCTATTGAACCAAGTTGAAAACTCAAGAGCTTAGACGGCCACAAACCATGATGCCATTGAAGCTAAGGGACAAGTGTGGCAGTTGCCAGCCGTGGGGTCTGTCGTGGACTAAATCTTTCCTTTCCTTTCCTCGTCGAGGTGAGGCGGTTGCTAAGTTAATCAACCAGAGACCTCAACATCACTTGGTAATTTGCTTAAAACTGCAAGGCAACACTGCCACCTTTCTGAAGAAGAGAGGATGTAGATTTGTTTTGCCTGAAACTGTTCATTTCAAAGGCTCCCTTGCAGGTCCGCTGCGGAGGGTGGGGAGGGGCTAGATCCTCTCTAGAAGGATTTTGGTGATGTTCTTGATAGTAGACTTACAAAGTAAGTGTGTTAAAGGAACGCTTCCTTCATTTAAAGCGCAGTAGAAAGGAAAGACAATTTTTGCTCTGCTCCCAGTTTCCATCTCCAGGGTTTTGTGGAGTCCTGGGCTCTTCCAGGTAAATCTGCAGTCCCTGAACCTAGAACTTAGAGAATCCCATTCTTTCCGCCTCTCACCCTCCTCCCTTCCATCCCTCTCAGATTTAAGAGTGTATAGGATTTTGCGTCATAGGAAGGATAGCTTGGGGGGAAACGTGCTATAGAAGCAAAAGCAGCCAAGTTTAATCCTCCATCCTTGAGAAACAGGAAAACGGGAGTCTGGAAATGTGCAAAGTGGCTTGGTCATCTGGGATGCAAAGGCTGATAATCTCTCAGCCGACAAAATAAAAGAGTAGCGTTTCAAACTTAGAAAATGTAATGTTAGGGCCAGGGATATAGCTCAGTGGCAGAGTGCCTGCCTAGCAAGCACAAGGCCCTGAGTTCTTCTGTGGTACTGGGGGAAAAACCATAATGTTTAAGGTGGTAATTATTCTTTCTGGATGTAATTATAACAATAGCTGCACCACTGCTGAAGTTTGATTGGCAGCATGCTAATAACAAGGCTTCTGGGGGATCTCAGCTTATTTTGTAACTAACAGCGACTAAAATGGGGCTCTTCTTTGTTTTGATTTCTCCCTGTCCTTTTCTTTCTTCTCCTCTTCTTTCATGAAACTACAAACTCCTTAAACTGTTTCTGCCTCATTGTAAACCTTTGCTTCCATTATGTATCTTATAAAAAAAAATCTCAAAACTAAATGAAATGGCTTTCTGATTAAAGCAACTTAGACTCCCTGTAATTGCAAGTGGATATCTTTCTCACGCCGAAATGGATGTGAGTGGCAGCAACATCCTACCAACTTCCCGTAAACTGTAATTGAGTGGCCTTGGGATTAAGTACAAAATCATGCTACAGAACTAGTCAGCTCTGAAAGTTTATGTTTACAAACATGTTTAGTGGTACAAAGTCATCTGATTTGAGAGGCAGCAGGGAGTCATGTTGGAGTATGCTGGCCTTGGGGCCAAACTAACTCAGTTTTTACTAGTCACCTCCACTTATTAGCTGTATGACCTTGAACCTCAGACAAGTTGCATGATTCCCCATGCTTTGACTTTTCTCATCTGAATAGTGAAAATGAATCTGTGATTGTTGTGAGAATTAAGTGTGATACTGCAACTAGACCTCTTAAAACAGATGCCCAGCACTTAGTAAGCCCTGGTAATGAATTAATATGCTATTATTAATATTAATGGACAGTAGGATACACTGCTATTCCATCTTCTCCCTGGGCCTTGGTTATTTATTTTATTTTATTTTATTTTATTTTATTTTATTTTATTTTATTTTTATTTTTTTGGTACCAGGAATTGAACTCAGGTCTTTACGCTTGCAAGGCAGGCCACCGAACTGCTGAGCTAAATCCCCGGCCCCTTGGTTATTTAATTTGTAAATGTCCATAAATAGGTGATTTTTTTTTAGACGCTTTCATTATGATTCTCTGAAGACACATAAAGATTATGTGGAAACAACCAAAATGCCAAAACTATGATTGACATAAATCATAGCAGTTTATCTAAATTTAATCAGTGTTGCTTTTAAACTGATTATATTTTTTGTACTTTTTTTTCTTTTATAGAGTTTATTGGTACATTTTAGGTATACAGTAAAGTTACATTCATTATTGGGATCTTGTACCTTTACATGTCAGGTCTTGGTTCTCATTTTTTCCCCTTGTCCCTGCCCTCCCTTCACCCCCTCCTCCCCTCCCCATTTACAAACACTTTATTTCCATTTTTTCATTTTCTCATATTTTTTTTTCTTTTCCCTTATTTGCTTTCCCCTACCTTTCCCACTTTCCCTACACCTTTAGCCCTTTTCTTCCCATTTCACAATGTCAGTTATCTCATTAGGATCTTATGTACTATTACACAAACTGATTATATGTTTACTGTTTTAATCTTGCCTTTTTTCCAATACTGGGTGTTGAACCCAGGGCCTTTGCACTGAAATACATCCCAAGCTGTTTTTATAATTTTTAAAAGCTTTTTTGAGACAATATTTCACTAAGTCACTCAGGCTGGACTCAAACTTGGCAATTCTCCTGCCTCAGCTTCCCAGAGTGCTGGAATTAGAAGCGTGTGCCACCACACCTGACTTCTTATTGTTATTTATTCAATATCTATAATCAGTGTCACTGTCAACATTTTCCCCTAATATCAGGCCCTGTGTCAGCTAAAAAAAAAGAAGTGCATATACATATGTGTGCAAACACACACATGTATGCACAGATCAAAAGTAGAGCAAGGCATCCAATAATGGATCTTGCTTTTAAAGAACTATGTGTTTCTCTTCCCTTTTTCTCTTGTCTCTCTTGCCTGTCTCAAACAGCCCAAAGACAAAGTCTGATACCTACTACTCCCTGACCCTCACTTCTCACAAGTGTACGGTTGTCAGATTTTGAAAATAAAAGTACAGAATACCTAAATTAATTTGACTTTTTGATAAATTAATATATAATTTTTAAGTATGTATCAATATTGAGGACATACTTTTATCTGAACCCAAGATTCTCTGGGTATTCAGTATGGCATCTCAGCAACCCTACCTACAATCCAAGTGGTCTTTGGTCAACATTCTCTGCTGCTCTACCTGATAACCTCTCAAACTCCTAAGATTCTGGATTAGTCTTTGAACATTCCCTAAGATTACAATTCTCATTCTTTAGGCAAGAAAGCAGAGATTCGGGATAAGGAAAGGGGACTGTGAGAAGTAACTCTGAGACCCCTAGAGTAGAAAAGTCCATGGGAGGAGGAAGAGTATAGAAGATTTGCTTCTGACTTTGTGACTTGGAGAAAGATAAGCTCAGCAAGCAGCTGGTGCTCAGGCAGTCCAAGCTCTGGCAGTTAGAGCTGCAGCTAAAAGAAGCTGAGGCATGTTTAAAGCCAGCAGTCAACGCACAGCTGAATATCAGATACCGGAACACATCGGCTCTTGTGTTCTACCCATCCTGCACCCAGGAACAGGCCCCCAGTGTCTGCAGTTGGCTACTTGTCCTTCTGAGACAGCGTGGGGCACCTCAGCAGGACCCTGGTCTCATCCTTCTCTGTCCTTTCTCTATTCTCCATCTTTCAGTCAACTGACAAAGTCTATGGATTCCGACTTTTAGCTTAAAATCTCTGGGGCCAAATTTTCCCTCTTATGAATTGAGGCTATTGGGCCAACAGATCGATCCCCCAGTTTTTACCATAATGGACACTACTGAAGAAATTCCCACTATGAGCTCAAAATAGCCCAGTCCCTGGTAATACTTTCACTATTAATTAGTTTCATAGCTTGACAAGTAGTTTTACCTGAAGGAATAACTCTTCCTTGATATCTAATATATGTATGTGTATCCAATTTAGTTGACCTTTTTAGATCTCATTTGCATCATCTACAAACTGCAGGATTCTCAACCCTAAAGTTGGTCCCAACCCTAAGGTTTCACAGTATCTTATGTGAATTG